AAAACAAAAAAAAAAAAAAAAAAAAAAAAAAAAAAGCCAATGGGAATTGAGAAAAGACCATTGGAGAGGGAACTGAGACATTCGGAAAAGATGAGTAGTCTAGCCTGAACTTCCTTACCTGGGTAACAAATATTTTGGGCTAAATACATTCATTGTGAACCGTGCTGATGTTCTCTCCTCACAGAACGTAAGAGGTAGCCTATCAAGAGATCTAACCAGGGCTGTTTTCCCATTGCCCTGTTGCTTTTTCTTCTATTCCTGGGAAAAGTATAGAAAATGGAACTTATTTTCTTTGCTGTGAAGCTCATGTCCCCTTAACTGCTACCTAAAGGGCAGGCAGGTCAGAAAAGTTACAGGCTAAAAAATTAAAAGTATTTGCAAAACTGTAGTTTAATCGTTATTCATGAGCATCAGCAACAACTGGAGGAGGGCTGCCAGTGTACTCCAATTAGCTTCCAGCCCAAATGATGTGATGACTAGAGATTGTGGAAGTGAGGATGAGGAACCGTCTGTTGTTTTCTATCTTTACTGCAGTAGCTAGTTATTAAATATTAATAACTAACATTTAACGACATGGGTTTTCCTAAGAGTCAGCCTTTTAATCTGTCCTTGAATTTGACTGATATTGGGTCTTTGGGGAAAAATATAAGAGCTAGGCTTCATCATGTTCACAAGATCCTGAATATGTTCATCCAACTGAAAGAATAGGAAATAGATTTGGAGCATGAGGGATGAGGCTTGAGCTTTTATTAGTGGAATAATGTATGGCATCTATGGAATACTTTTTAATCTTAGCTCCATAAAACTTTTAAAGATAGTGAGAAATCTATCTAGGGATGGATTTAGGGAGGTGAAATCATGTCGAACTAATCGCTTCTGAAGGATCTTTTCTATTCCAGAATTATTTTAAAATAAGATCCCAAACGGTTGAAAGGATTTGAAACTTTGCGTAGTTTTTTTTTAAAAGAAAAATAGTGCATTAACTACACTTCCCAGGAGGCCAGGCGGGCGAGTCTCCTCACTCGCCTACTTCTCTTCACCGCGAGGTAAGATGGGAAATGTAGTGCTCCAAGCAACGCTGCACGTGACGCACGCGGTGGAAGGCGAGAGGGACTGCGCCGCCTGGTGCGGTACAGGGTCCGGGGAGTCTAGTTGTGAACGTCTTTTTCCCCAGAATTTGGTTTTTGCAGTGCGGGGAGGGCCCCCATCTTCTCCCTGACCGTGAAATGAGCTGGCCCGGGTTCATTTGCCCGCCGGAGCAGCTCCAGGGAAGTCCCGGTGGGTGAGACACCGTGATGCCTCATCCAGTTTCTCGGTAGCCGGGCGGGGAGGGGGAGAAGGTGAGAACAGCAGGGGGCTAGCAGCTTGCGCCCTGCGCCCCACCCTGGCTGCGGCCGCCCGGGGAGGAAGCGCGTATAGGTTGAGTGCGAAGTTTCCTTTTTTGCTTTCTCGTCAGAGAAGCCCCAACGGGCGGTTCGGCGGGAATGCCAAACTTTAGTTTGAGCGGGGTCGCGAGCCAAAGGGTTTAAAATAAGTTACTCCCCCCACTTCCCGCCGCCGTATAACGTCCATCCCGCTAGCCATGGGCAGCCGCGATCACCTGTTCAAAGTGCTGGTGGTGGGGGACGCCGCAGTGGGCAAGACGTCCTTCGTGCAGCGATATTCCCAAGACAGCTTCAGCAAACACTACAAGTCCACGGTGGGAGGTGAGACGTCGCTGCGGGGGCGGGGTAGACGAGAGGCCGGGATCACGGGACTTGAGCCGCGGACTCAAGTGGGGTGGGGAACGGGGGATTTGGTGTCTTTGGGTCCTTCCCCGGGCCTGGAAATAGGTGTCTGGGATCCTGAAGGGAGGCATGCTGGTGTTTGATTTGCATGCTTCTCTTGCGTTTCCCCCAATTAAGTTTTCCCAGCCTGAGCTGATTGTCTGGAAAGAGAGCAAAACTGTGACGATGGGAAATGAGGGCGGGTAGATGAGAAAATGAGCAATTGCTGCGTTTCGCTAGGGAACTCAAGTCTCCTCCTGCAGCCTTCCTAGCGGTCACAGGCACATCTCTGCGATCAGCAGAAGCAGCTGAGACCCTCTGGAGCGCCTGGTTAGGTACCAGTTGGGGCTGTTGTCCTGCCTCTCACGGGAGTTACAGACAGCTGTTGAAGGAACAGAAAGGTGTTTAACCTGGCCTCAGGGAGCCTAGCTTTGTTATGGAAATACCTGCATGGGAGGGCCCCTTGGCCACACAATCAGATGCTTATCAGGGCTGAAGAGCTGTGTGTTTTTTGTCCATCGATTGCTTAAATAAAGACTAGGAATTCTTCCTAGTGTAAAATATACCACTTTTCTGACCTATCTTCCCCCCCACACACACCTTTTTCTCTCAAACTGGGGAGGTGAAGGAAGCAGGGAAGACCAAGAGTTAATTCATTTCTTTCCAGGTTTGGCCTTTGGACTCAACTGTCTTTTCAGAAGTAGAAAAATGCCTTCTAACTAGAAGTTTAGATGGGAAGAGCTGGTGAAGAGGGAAAGTAACAAACATTTATTTATCTCCATTAAAAGAACTTTTTTTAAGGAAAAAAATTTGCAGTAATGTAAATTTTGAAATTGTGTGCTAGTGTTCATTCTGGAATTTTTTTTAATTAACATGCATTTACATTGCAGTTAAAACACCCTCCTTAAGAACATTCATCAAGGGCTTCCTTGGTGGCGCAGTGCTTGAGAGTCCGCCTGCCGATGCAGGGGACACGGGTTCGTGCCCCGGTCCGGGAAGATCCCACATGCCGCGGAGCGGCTGGGCCCATGAGCCATGGCCGCTGAGCCTGCGCGTCCAGAGCCTGTGCTCCACAATGGGAGAGGCCACAACAGTGAGAGGCCCGCGTACTGCAAAAAAAAAAAAAAAAAAAGAGCATTCATCAAAATTAAGGGTTAAAAGTTTCAAACAAACAAAAGTTTCAAAGACTGTTTCCTGACCATTCTGCCCCACACTGCTCAATAATATGAGGGTCCCTATTTCATGGATTTGGTTTAAAAGTATCCCACTAATTTTTAGCAATTGTTGTAGTTTTCCTTTAGTAGAGAATATAATTGACTGGCTAATTTTTTGTTCAGTATTTATTCTTAATTTCCCCTAGCTTTTATTTCTGTCATAGACGTGGAGAAATGTATTTCCAAATCTCAGAAATTATCCTGTTGCTGTCCTTATCAAAAGCTCTCCCCCACAGCCTTAACTCATGGACTCAGCATCTACAGATATGGCAGTAGATTCCAGCACTGCTCTTAAGCATCATCCATGGAGTATCTTCTTCCGGGTGAATCCTCTGGGACCTTTTCACTTTATCCCATTCCTGCCCAAGATAATTCCTACGGCCTTATGGAAAATGGAGAATTCCCTGAGGGTGTGTTTTGCTCATAATACAGTTGGACTAGAAACCAACACTGAAATGTGGAAGATGCAAAAGCCAACCCACTTACCTCATTTCCCTCTTCTACCCCATCATCCCTTCCCTGAGAAAACCCCCTAAATCTCCCAGAAACTGTTTAACCTGAGATTAGGAGTTGTTTTTATAATTACTCCCATCCTCCTATCCCCAGCCTGAGAGACAAGTAGGATCAAATACATTGGTTTGATGAGAGAGTAAAAGCTGGAGATGCCTTCGGAGATGCATGTGAATTACCTGTCCCACACTTAATACATGAGTGTGGGCTCATCTCAGTCCATTGAGGGCTTAAAAATAACAAAACAAATAATGAATGAATGAATGAATGGGATTGGAGTTGTGTGTCTCTAGGGTTGTAATTGCATATTTTATATGACTTTGTGGATTTTTTAAGGTAAATTTAATTCAAGTATATTATACATAAATTTTCAGTGGATTTTGCTCTGAAGGTTCTCCAGTGGTCTGACTCAGAGATGGTGCGCCTCCAGCTGTGGGATATTGCAGGTAGGATGGATAAGACTGGACAAGAACAAGGAAGACATTTTGGTTTAACCAACAAGCTCTCAGAGAAAAAGTGGGACAGGGAAACCAGAAGTTTTTTCCTGAAGCTGGAATGACTGAACTGCTCTGAGGACATATAAGCTGAATAGATGTAGAGCTTTTGTAGATGTTTTCTGTAGATGTTTTGCCCTGAATAAATGTAGAGCAGTCTCTGTGTGGGTGAGGGTCTGGCAAAGTAGTGAACTGTCCAGACCGTAGGTAGATGCTCCCACAGCAGGGGGAGGGGGTGCTCTTTCTAGGTTTTCAGCTGACCTTGGTGAGAAACAAGAAAAGAGAAGACAATAATAATAATAGCTAATCCTTATTTATTATGTGCCAAGCACTTTTCTGAGCATTTTAGATTCACTGACTCATTATTAATCCTTACAACTATCCTATGATAAAAAGCTACTGCTTGTTTCCCCACTTTACAGATGCTCATTCTGAAGCACAGAAAGCTTGACTTGTCTAAAGTCACATAGATAGTAAATGACAGAGCAGGGATCTGGGATTGGGTGATCTGGGCGCAGAATCTGGACTCACCCACTACGCATACTGCCCTCTTTCCCACAATGAAGATGGAAAGGGCAGGGTGTCAGGGAGGGTTCCAAGGCTGGCTCTTAGGATCACCTTCTCAAGAACCGTCTCCTTACTTCCCAGGGCAGGAGCGCTTCACCTCTATGACCCGACTTTACTATCGGGATGCCTCTGCCTGTGTTATTATGTTTGATGTTACCAACGCCACTACCTTCAGCAACAGCCAAAGATGGAAACAGGACCTGGACAGCAAGCTCACACTGCCTAATGGAGAGCCGGTGCCCTGCCTGCTCTTAGCCAACAAGGTATGTGGTCGATCTTGGAAAATGGCCCCTGGCCTCAATCCGTGGTCAGAGAGTAAGCGTGTCTAAAATACACTCTGATTGTGGGTATCCACTTGCCCTTCTCTACCTCCTTTCAAAAGATGTTGACACTTTCTTTGGGAAGAATGTTGGCTGTAGATTTCAGATGCTGCTGTTCTAGCCATGGGTGGAACTGTTTTAAATCCACACGTATCTGAGCAATGTTTCTATTCCCAGGAAGTTTATGGTGTTGCCTTTTGTTTATTTTCTTTGCCAGTGTGATCTGTCCCCTTGGGCAGTGAGCCGAGACCAGGTTGACCGGTTCAGTAAAGAGAATGGTTTCACAGGTTGGACAGAAACATCAGTCAAGGAGAACAAAAATATTAATGAGGCCATGAGGTGAGTAGCTCATGCTGTTCTAGGGATAGGCACACAGATTTACCCATCTTCCACTGCAGCCCCTTGGACCTTCTTTCCTTGTTTCTGAGCAAACAAGAACAGACTTAGCCACTGGAATGCCAGCTCCTGAAGGTCAGGGATGCTGTCTTCTCTCCTGAGATAATTGGGGACAAAGGGGCATTTAAACCTTGTGGCTTTACTGAGTGCCATCTGGTGACAAGACAGACAATATCTGCCGTTTCTCCATCCAGCTTCTCAGGCTTGTTTTTTATTTGTTTTTTAGAGTCCTCATTGAGAAGATGATGAGCAATTCCAGAGAAGATACGTCTTTGTCCGCCCAAGGGAACTACATCAACCTGCAGACCAAGCCCTCTTCCAGCTGGGCCTGCTGCTAGTAGCGTTTGGCTTGTTTTCCCTCCCAGTTCTAGGAGATCCTTCTCTTCCCTTTGGTTGCCCACCCAGCAGTTTTACTAAGTACATTTGAACTGTCTGCCGCTGACGGTCCAGTAAGGGGGGCCATCATCACTAAGAAAAGACACGTGATACCCATGGGCGTTTCTGCTGCCTCTGCTGCAAGTTGCCTGTCACTTGCTGCTGGCTCACGGGGCCCAGTCAGTGCCTTCTGTCCAAAAAAGATCATCTCATCTCTCAATTTGTGATCTGGGATTTTGTGGGAAGGATTAGAAATCAGCATCTGTGTTTTACAGATCATAATTTTCACCTACTTTTAAGCATATTTTTCCATTTAATGTATATTGTTATCTCAATCTGATAGGACTTCAGATTGCAAGGAAAATGAGATCAAAGGTCATTTCCCAAATTCCTTGTTGATCATTGCTTTCAGATTCTTTCTGTCTTGGACTTTGAATTTAAACACCTGATTCTGAGATACAGAAGTGGGGCTGGATATCTATGGGTTTAGGGCTACTGGAGGTAAACCAAAAGTCACTATTTTTTTAAGCTTCTCAAGTCATATGAGCTTTCTTTTGTCTTGGTTTTAAAAATAGTTAACCTTTTAAATCATCTGTCTTTGGTTAGAGTGATTCTTTCCCCAAAAAATTAATTCTCACTTTAAGGTTTTCTAGTGTCTCTCTCCCAGTGGGATGGGGACAGGGTTTGCAGGTTGATGTCTTGCCACGTAATGCTGCAAGTGACATCAGTTGGCCGTGGTACCCTGAACTAGGTCTGTTCCTCACAGCTCTGGGAGTCTGAATGGAAGAAGAGGGTCAGGTTAACAGAACAAAATCCTATGGGGCAACTTGCTTAGGAGCACTTTGGGTGTCTAGCACTTAACAGCCATAGAAAATAAATATTATGTATAGACCTTTGCCTGGGGATGGAGAGTAGATAGACAGAAAATCATTAGGTAATTTAAGTGCTAAATTGGGTGGAGTTTTTAGTATCAAATCACTTCTAGACAGTTTAATTTGTTAAATTCTCACAGGATGGTGATTTATAACCTGCCCAAAGTTATTAATATTCTTCGTGAGCTCAGGCTTAGAGCTCTTTGAGAGACACTTACCTAAATAAGTGTTCTAAGTCAGTGGTTCCCAAATCTGACTAATGAGAACCACCTGGGAAGTTTATTTAACGATTTTAAAATGAAATGTTTTAAGATTTCTGTTTCCCAACCTCAAACCTACTGAACCAAAATGTCCAGGGATGAAGCTTGGGGATTTGTTGTTGTTGTTTTTCAGAGTTTCCCAGGCAATTCTGATCAGCCCGGTTTGGAAACCCTTGCTGGAGAACGTGGTAAAGATACAGAGACCCAGGCCTTCCCTGGGCTTCTGTAGGCTGCATTAATTCTCCAGGTGATTTTGACACACACCAGACTTTGAAAAGCACTGTCCTAAGAGAGATCAGAGGCCAAATATCAGAGCCTTCGGTGGTTTGTTTGTTTTTAATGCCAGTTGTTATAAATTTTGCACAATCTTCTGAGACCTTCAGGTTCTCTTTTGTATTACTCTTTCCAGGTAGGGTTTTTATTACAATGATTCTGAAAATAATAGTGGAATAACAAGTTCTCTATGAAAATAAAATTGATTTTTATTCACTGGTTTGAACCCCTGAAAAATCATAAATAAATGGGAAATAAGTATTGTATTGATGGTAGTTATTGGCCTTCAACGTGACTTTGTTATTTTATACTGATAGAGTATTGTGGAAATGGAGACTTTATTTTTTAAATACCTTCTTTAAAAATGAAGGTTATTTTTTAAATACCTTCTTTAAAAAATGAAGGTAAGGGCTTCCCTGGTGGCGCAGTGGTTGAGAGTCCGCCTGCCGATGCAGGGGACGCGGGTTCGTGCCCCGGTTCGGGAAGATCCCACATGCCGCGGGGGGGCTGGGCCCGTGAGCCATGGCCTCTGAGCCTGCGCGTCCAGAGCCTGTGCTCCGCAACAGGAGAGGCCACAACAGTGAGAGGCCCACGTACCGCCAAAAAAAAAAAAAAGAAGAAGGTAAGTGTTATTCTGTTTATCTGTTAATTTACCAGTACTGATTGCCTCATTCCAATTCAGAACTTGATGTAACTTCTCAAATACTGCAATGGTGACCATTTAAAAAACTTGAATATGCTTTCTTTTCCCACTTGCTGACTCAGGCTATTCCTGCCTTTTCAAGCATTGCTAGAGGCTGGCCTGCCAGCCCTTCTGGATTTTCTCTCCCAGTTGGTCAACGTTATGGCCCTGAAACTAATTTAAAAAGAAAGTGAAATATTTCTCTTTATGTCCCTATCTATAAAGAAAAGGGAAAGCAATTAAGATAAGGAAGAAGAAAATATTTACATGGTTAGAAATGTGATTATACTAAAAATAATTAGATCCTATCATTTGGATGCCACCTCTTGGGTAAAAATTGTTTGGAACATGGATATCATTGTAGCCCTTCCCTAGAGAAATTTCCATATTTGAGACAAGATAGCCCTTCAACCATCCACCTGGTCTGTGGCTAAAGAGAAAACATAAGCATTCCCTGCAGACTGTTCTAAGAGACCCAAGGAAAGGCTGAGAACAGAGCTGTGGGATTATGACTGCCCTGGCTTTCAACTTTGAACAGAATAGCTGAGTGATCAAACAAGCCAGGAAAGGAACCCTAAGTCAAGGAAGGCCCCTCAGCATAAGTGATGGTTTGCTGTTTTGTACTGCTAATGAGCCGGAATTGCTCCAAGATGCTGTTACTCACTTTCCTTTCCTATTGCTAGGGAATATTTGGGTTCCTTATTTTTCCCTCTTATCTCCAGATTTAACTGTTTTCTTTAGATGGTCTGTCTTCTGTCCTCAGGACACTGTCCCATCTAACAGGAGGCTCTTCCTGCCTGTTGTCCTTTTGTAGGCAGTGGCCTGCTTTTGACATGATCTAAGGCCATGGTTAGAAGATGTAAAAATCTCCATGGTAGGTATTCTGTAAAATCTAGTGACTGGATTGCTCAGGGAGATAAACCTCTGTGCCCTTTTCTCCTTCACCCCGCTTGGTTCACTATGTATAGGAAGAGGCCTCAGCTGTGTACATGACTCATTTATTAAAACCAAATAACCCCCAAGTTGGAATGGATAGGAAGCCACTAGAAAATGTGCATTGGGGACTTCCCTGGTGGTACCGTGGTTACGAATCCGCCTGCCAGTGCAGGGGACACGGGTTCAGTCCCTGGTCTGGGAAGATCCCACATGCCGCGGAGCAACTAAGCCCGTGCTCCACAACTACTGAGTCTGCGCTCTAGAGCCCACAAGCCACAACTACTGAAGCCCGCGTGCCCTAGGGCCTGTGTGCCGCAACTACTGAGCCTGTGTGCTGCAACTACTGAAGCTCGTGTGCCTAGAGCCTGTGCTCTGCAACAAGAGAAGCCACCGCAATGAGAATTCCGTGCACCACAACGAAGAGTAGACCCCACTCACCGCAGCTAGAGAAAGCCCATGCACAGCAATGGAGACCCAATGCAGCCAAAAACAATGATAAAAAAAAATGTGCATTGGAAAGAACTTTACATGTATTTTTGATTCAGCCATAAATACCAGAGACTTGAGAATATATCTACATATGACCTTTGTTGTTAGAAAACCCTGCCTTCTCTTTGGCTTTTAAGCATAATCTGAATTCTGTTCAGTTTTATCTGCAGAGTTTCAGTATAATACTGGTATTGCTCTGTTTAGGGTTCTCCAGGGAAACAGAACTAATAAGGTGTGTGTGTGTGTGTGTGTGTGTGTGTGTAAAGGGATTTATTACAAGAATTTGGCTCATGTGATTATGGAGGCTGGCAAATCTAAAACTTATGGAGCTGATGTCCCAGTTAAAGTCCCAAGGCTGGCAGACTGGAAGAGCTGATATTCCAGTTCAAAGGCCACCAGATAGAAGAATTCTCTCTTACTCAGGACAGGGCCTTCAACTGATTAGGTGAGGCCCACCCACGTTAGGGAGAGGAAACTACTTTACTACATCTACCAATTTAAGTGTTAATCTCATCCAAAAACACCCTCACAGAAACACCCAGAATAATGTTTGACCAAGTATCTGGGCACCCCATGGCCCAGTCCAATTGACACACAAAATTAAGCATTACTTGCACTTAACGGTACTTTACTATGTGATGGTGCTGTTTTGATAACTTTTCTTCACACTCAACTTTAATTTGATTCACACTCATCTGATTAGGAACTAACTACATATTAATGGGAGTAAAGAAGAGAAAGCAGATAGGAAAGGAAGACGATAAGATAGACATTTTATGATTTATCATGATATGAGAAGGGCAGCCCAGTAGCACTGGATACCAATATCTGACTTGGTATAAACTCTTCCCTCAGCTCTGCGAGTTGTGTATGCTTCTTACACTATCTTGGAAATAAGAAAGCAGATAGTTCTCATTTTATGTTTGAGGGAACAAATATCTCAAAATTTGACTAACTGAAAGGCAGCTGGTTGAATTCGTAATAAAGCCAAGACATAACTGCAAATCTTCAAATTCCCCATCTCCATTCTGTCATTTAGGTTTCTGTGAAGCATTTGACCTGAGAAACCTATTTTAGAAAATAAGCCCAGACATTTAGAGAAACAGAACTGGCCCCTTTTGGGTTTGAAACTCTTAGTTTGTGTTATATAGACTTTGAGACCATGTTCATGTGTGGAATAGAGACGTGTGTAATTAAATTTGGAGTCAAATTAAGTGCAGGTTCAATAGCATGTAGCACAGATATGTCCTGAGATGTTTGACACGTTCCACTTACTAAGATATGTCACCCAAGTGCAGTGACTGTCATTTAATTTTTAACATCAGCTTTCTTGTCTGCAAACACAGGGATTAAAATTTTTTTATTCTTTTCCATTGTAGTTTATTACAAGATATTGAGTATAGTTCCCTGTGCTACACAGTAGAACCTTGTTTTTTATTTTTTATATACAAGTACAGGGATTTTAACAGCCATTCCATTTTCAACTGTTGTTGCCAGTAGTTGACATCTGAGTGTTTCTGTAAGCCAAATACATATTCTTCTAAGCACTTCACATGGATTATTTTAATTTTCACAATGACCCTATAATTCTACATATATAGACATTTAAGGCACAAAATTAAAACTGCTCAAGGTTAGACAGCTAGGGTGTGGCAAACGGATTTTTTTTAATAT